GAAAAAAAAATAATAAATAAAATATGTTCAATATTAAATAATAAGCACCAAAAATTCTTCAAACAAAAGCAACTTAAACTACGCACGGATACGGATCAATTCTTGTTTTTTTTGCATTACGTGTACGTGCTGGAATCGGTATCCAATTAAAATGTAATGACCACCAAAAACCACCAACACTACCATCACCCGTACCCTTAAAAAATTCAAAATATAAAAACAAAATCCCAACTGTATATTTAAACATGGCTTACACCATAAGCCATATTTTGATCACTAATCATATCAATACCCGGACATAAAACAGCTGAACGTTTTTCTTTAATTCGAAGCAAAAGTGGTTCTAACCTATAAAAATAATAATATCCCAATCACCATCCATTTAAAAAACATGAAGCAAATAGCAAAAAAACAAAAAAAAAACATAAACTACGGAAAAGGATCAATTGAAGACTTTCGTAAATTTTGAATACGAGAAAAAATATGAGACCAAGAAAAATGAAGTGACCATATAAAGATTCCAACCCAATTAACTGAACCTCCATGATATGATAGAGCATGACTATTTATTGCATCAATTATAGGACAAAGTATAGCTGTTCGTTTTTGTTGAATACGATAAACTAATGGTTCAAGCCTAGAGTTTTTTTTTCTTATATTTAAATAAATTTTCAATTCTATTTATTTACCATCCAGCATTTGCTTCACAATGTGCATCGAGAAATACAACAACATCACCAGTAGCTAGAAAAAATAATAACAATAAATTTTCTTTTTTTGTTAATGACTAAATTCATTCACCATTCTTTGCACCATAATTTTTTGCTTTAATTAATCCAAGTCTTGTTGGTGCTCGTAAAACACGTACTAACTCTCCAAAATGTTCTTCACAATAATCATCTAAACGTTGACCCATTTCCTCTAAAGAATTAAAAAGAAAATTTATTCTTATCAAATGAATAATAATCCTTTTGCTTTTCATTTACCAATATCGGATTGATCATCAACTAAAATAACTTCTTTAAGTAAATGTTTTGGTGATCGATTAAGTACAGAATAAACTGTTCGAAGAACTGGTGACCAACGTTCATTTTTAAATACTATAACAACTGATGCTGTTGGTAAATCTTTTGGATATTCAATAGATTTACATCTATATATATATATATAAAATAAATTCGAACATTTGCTACGAAATCTTAAGATGAAATGTTTATTTCAGTTTTTCGATCACATAAAGATGTTCAAGGAAAAATAGGACAAAGTCAGGATCGCTCACGTTCATAGATCAAAATTGTAGTGTAGATAAAAATCCTGAAAGGGTTTGTGCTATTAGATCTGTCTTTTCGATTTATGATCATTTTACTGAACTTCCAGTCGATTGCAGAATATCACGAAAAAAATGTTAGAATCCTTATGTTATCCTGAAAGTTTCAGCTCAAATGGATGTTTCCATTTTGAGAAAACATATTTGCAAAAAAATGTTACTATTACAGAAGAGCTCCGGAAAGAATTCAGTTTTAGGCTTACGATATCATAAGAAGAAATTATCCGTTTAAGCTAAAACTTCTTGTTGCGATTTTTTCTCGTGGCATTCTACAATATACTGAGAGTCTTCTCTGTGGACTCCAACGGAGATTATAAGTCGGATGAATTTCCTCGTTAGACTTATCGAACTGAAACTGTTACTATAAATATTTAAAAGTGTTTCCGAGAGCCCGAAATATCAACGCCTTGCTTTAGAATTCAAGCCTTTACATGCAATTCTCATATAAAAGAAGGTGAAATATTTTTAAAGCTTTTAAATCATCTCTTAGATTTAGTCTAAGAGGTTTCCGAAAAATTTGAAACTCCAGCCGAGAAAACTGAAGAGAGTTCGTAAGCGAGCTCGATGTAATTCCATAAAAAAATCAGAGTTTGTCTGACTGCACCCTTGTTAAGAATTAGAAGTAGCCAAAAAAACAAATGGAAATAGTATTAGTATCAATAATATCAGAATTATGGTACTATTTATAATGTTTTATAGATTTACATTTTGAGCAATTTTTACTTAGTATCTTTGTAGAATATTCATTTTTTTTTTATCAAGTAAGTATTTTAAAGTGTAATAAATTTTTAATTTTTTGTTGAGAGATATAAAATATAACTAAAATTCGTGATTGCTTACAGAAAATATCATATAATTCTAATTAATTTCTTTATATATGATCGAAAAACAAATAAACAATTCGAATTCGTATAATAGAGTCTTACGTACAATTGATCGCGAGTATCCGGTATTGATCTCCATAATGAAATTTTATCACTTGCACGTAAATTAAAAAATTCTTTTTTCATTACAGCATCTAAATTTTGCGATTCTTCAGCCTAGAAAAGAAAAATAATATAAATAAATAAATAAAATTTTAAAAACTTTTCTTATTTACTGTTAATTGTACACCTTGTCCATTTTCACCTGGACAACCTCGACATTGTTCTGGTATTGTATATGTTTCTCGATTAATACGTATTTTTTGTTTCTCAACAATTTTTTTTTGTTTATCTTTTTGTTTCTTATTCTCGGATGATACTTTATATTCATTTCCATAGAAGAAAAATACTATACAAAATATAGTCATAAGAACTATTAATAATTTATTTCGACGACGATAAAGAAACCAATAGAGATGTGATGGGAACATCTGAAATAAATCAAATGAAGATGTTCGTTATAAATTGACCTTTTCTCACACATCTATGTATGACCAGAGTCAATATAAACACTTAATGATAAAACA